TTATAAGCACTGCAAGAAAAAAATAATTTTAAATGTTTCAAACAAATGTTGTAGTATATTTTTTTTATCTGGATCCAAAATAACGTTTACATTATCATAACTAGAAAATTGATGTTAAAAATTTTGAACTTAAGTTGAAACAGCAAATATTGTAAAGTCAAATGAACTTCAATAAAACAATTCAGCACTAGGCAAGATTTAAATTAGTGAGTTGAAATTACTTGTACTTTTAAGTTGATTTAACTTAAAATTTTAAGGCAGCCACAAAACTTACGTTTTTAAGTTGAAGGCTGAAAATTTTTTACAGTGTACATATTTAAATGCATTTAATTCTAACAGTTTAGAATTAAATGTTTGCTAAAGTTATTTTTGAAAGTATTCAATAGTGTTATCAAAGTGCTTCATACTCTCTACTAAATCTTATTTTACATCAGAGAAACAAAGCACAAAATAATAATATACAAAACTAGAAGACACATTTGTTGAAACAGTAAAGAAATACCAGCTTCTTTATATTCTCATACCTCAAGTGGACCTGACACACCTGAAGGGCCCTCAAACCTGCGGAAAACACCTGTATGACAGACGCCACGTGCATAAATCCAGCTGCCACGCAAATTCATAACAGGAATATACAGCAAATGTGTCCATTAATTCCCGCTCTGTTTAATTTGCTACTCTGGTCTTGATTTAAGGAGGGTAATAAATATTTTCCAACACTTTTTGCAGCCGAAAAGCCATCTGAGGCTCCGTATAAACATATACGTGCGTAAACTACAGTTCTGCCTCATGCCCTCTTGCGCTGAGAACAGAGCAAAGTTTAGACGACAGAACAACATCAAATGAGAAACAACAACAAAACGATTACTTATCAAAAGCCCTTTAATCTGCACACACAGCACGCAAAAAGTGCTCGATTTCCCCCAGTTTACTGCCCTGTGCTACACGAGCCCTGCACACCCCTTTAAACCAAAGCGTAGCCCAACTAAAACACTTAAAATAAAGCTGTTTAAATGCATATCATGCAAGAACACTTGATAAGAAGACAGCGAAACTCACTCAGCTCCAGAGAAGTTGTCCGCGAGCTAAATCTGTTGCGAGTTCTTACTTTTTCAACCGTTCGTTCATCCGGATCGACAGACTTGTGTGTTGTGGGGCTCTCGATATTCTCCGCTTTTAATGCGGAAAACACCTGTATGACAGACGCCACGTGCATAAATCCAGCTGCCACGCAAATTCATAACAGGAATATACAGCAAATGTGTCCATTAATTCCCGCTCTGTTTAATTTGCTACTCTGGTCTTGATTTAAGGAGGGTAATAAATATTTTCCAACACTTTTTGCAGCCGAAAAGCCATCTGAGGCTCCGTATAAACATATACGTGCGTAAACTACAGTTCTGCCTTATGCCCTCTTGCGCTGAGAACAGAGCAAAGTTTAGACGACAGAACAACATAAAATGAGAAACAACAACAAAACGATTACTTATCAAAAGCCCTTTAATCTGCACACACAGCACGCAAAAAGCGCTCGATTTCCCCCAGTTTACTGCCCTGTGCTACACGAGCCCTGCACACCCCTTTAAACCAAAGCGTAGCCCAACTAAAACACTTAAAATAAAGCTGTTTAAATGCATATCATGCAAGAACACTTGATAAGAAGACAGCGAAACTCACTCAGCTCCAGAGAAGTTGTCCGCGAGCTAAATCTGTTGCGAGTTCTTACTTTTTCAACCGTTCGTTCATCCGGATCGACAGACTTGTGTGTTGTGGGGCTCTCGATATTCTCCGCTTTTAAAACGATGCAAAAAAAAAAAAAAAAAACGTGGTCAGATAACCCTAAAAAATCACCCGAACATCTTTTCGGGAATACCGCTGAACGCGTTGCAGGGTTTTCAGGTATAACGCGCTGAAAACTGTTGGCAGTTATTTGTTAAGAGGGAGCGGGGGGCACCGCACGGATCCTGAAGGGTCTCACGTTGACTGCGTAGCACTTCAAGTCTTCAGATTCACATTTACTGGTCTGGCTCAGTGTCACTGGCTCGCGCCCCCTGTCGACAGATATTCGAGTCCTGGCGCGAGCTGCGAAATATAGCGGTCTCCCACGCGCTGAGCGCGCAACATCCAGAACACTCGTGCCTGCCGCATATAATCGAGTGAGTTTAATCAGTGCAGATTATTTGAGGAGAGTTTCTTTCTGTTGTTTTCGAAAGTGTTGAAGGTCACTTGAAGGCCGTATTTGGCTAGTTTTCTGAGAGAGCGTTTTTGAGGGAGACCAGTCACTCTTTTGGTCGCTTATTTGGGAGAGAGCGCACTGCTTACTCTTTTCAAACAGTTTTTAAAAGGCAGCCAGCTCAGGGCACTCTTTTTTGTCGCTTATTAGGGAGAGAGGACACTGGCAGTTTAATTTGACAGTTTTTCACTCAATTTGGCCACTTTTGTTCAGTGGTCACTCTTTTGGATCACTAATTTGGGAGAGCACATTGGCAACACTTTTCTGTCAATTCAGGTTTTTGAGCAAGACAGGACTGTTTTGTCAGTTATTTTAAAGGGGTCATATGATGCGATTTCAAGTGTTCCTTTCTCTTTGGAGTGTTACAAGCTCTTGGTGCATAAAGAAGATCTGTAAAGTTGCAAAGACTAAAGTCTCAAATCCAAAGAGATATTCTTTATAAAAGTTAAGAGTCAGCCACACCTAACAGTGTAGAATTAAATGTTTGCTAAAGTTATTTTTGAAAGTATTCAATAGTGTTATCAAAGTGCTTCATACTCTCTACTAAATCTTATTTTACATCAGAGAAACAAAGCACAAAATAATAATATACAAAACTAGAAGACACATTTGTTGAAACAGTAAAGAAATACCAGCTTCTTTATATTCTCATACCTCAAGTGGACCTGACACACCTGAAGGGCCCTCAAACCTGCGGAAAACACCTGTATGACAGACGCCACGTGCATAAATCCAGCTGCCACGCAAATTCATAACAGGAATATACAGCAAATGTGTCCATTAATTCCCGCTCTGTTTCTCTGGTCTTTCTGGTCTTGATTTAAGGAGGGTAATAAATATTTTCCAACACTTTTTGCAGCCGAAAAGCCTCCGTATAATCCGTATAAACATATACGTGCGTAAACTACAGTTCTGCCTCATGCCCTCTTGCGCTGAGAACAGAGCAAAGTTTAGACGACAGAACAACATCAAATGAGAAACAACAACAAAACGATTACTTATCAAAAGCCCTTTAATCTGCACACACAGCACGCAAAAAGCGCTCGATTTCCCCCAGTTTACTGCCCTGTGCTACACGAGCCCTGCACACCCCTTTAAACCAAAGCGTAGCCCAACTAAAACACTTAAAATAAAGCTGTTTAAATGCATATCATGCAAGAACACTTGATAAGAAGACAGCGAAACTCACTCAGCTCCAGAGAAGTTGTCCGCGAGCTAAATCTGTTGCGAGTTCTTACTTTTTCAACCGTTCGTTCATCCGGATCGACAGACTTGTGTGTTGTGGGGCTCTCGATATTCTCCGCTTTTAAAACGAAAAAAAAAAAAAAAAAAAAAACGTGGTCAGATAACCCTAAAAAATCACCCGAACATCTTTTCGGGAATACCGCTGAACGCGTTGCAGGGTTTTCAGGTATAACGCGCTGAAAACTGTTGGCAGTTATTTGTTAAGAGGGAGCGGGGGGCACCGCACGGATCCTGAAGGGTCTCACGTTGACTGCGTAGCACTTCAAGTCTTCAGATTCACATTTACTGGTCTGGCTCAGTGTCACTGGCTCGCGCCCCCTGTCGACAGATATTCGAGTCCTGGCGCGAGCTGCGAAATATAGCGGTCTCCCACGCGCTGAGCGCGCAACATCCAGAACACTCGTGCCTGCCGCATATAATCGAGTGAGTTTAATCAGTGCAGATTATTTGAGGAGAGTTTCTTTCTGTTGTTTTCGAAAGTGTTGAAGGTCACTTGAAGGCCGTATTTGGCTAGTTTTCTGAGAGAGCGTTTTTGAGGGAGACCAGTCACTCTTTTGGTCGCTTATTTGGGAGAGAGCGCACTGCTTACTCTTTTCAAACAGTTTTTAAAAGGCAGCCAGCTCAGGGCACTCTTTTTTGTCGCTTATTAGGGAGAGAGGACACTGGCAGTTTAATTTGACAGTTTTTCACTCAATTTGGCCACTTTTGTTCAGTGGTCACTCTTTTGGATCACTAATTTGGGAGAGCACATTGGCAACACTTTTCTGTCAATTCAGGTTTTTGAGCAAGACAGGACTGTTTTGTGTTATGTATCTTTGTAAGTCATTGTAAGCCCCCTTTTGAGGCACGCACAAGCGCACAACCCCCACCCCACCCCCGTCCGTTATAACAAAAAAACATGTGGTCTCCCCCAAAGTCCACGGTATAGTTCGAACACTGAACGCGTCGTGTGTGTGTGTGTGTGTGTGTGTGTGTGTGTGTGTGTGTGTGTGGACATGTTTGAGAGAGGCGGGGCATAGAGGACCTACAATAATGTACAGTATTTGAAAAATAATGTGTTTTTTGAACATTAAAGCATGTCAACATATTCTGTTACACCAAATACACAAAATAATGATCTTTAAAATAGCATCATATGACCCCTTTAACTTATCCACACTTTTGACCATAAACTATGAACACATGTGCCTTTTTGGTCGTTTTCAAGTTTGACCCAAAAAGTACTTATACTTGAAGAAAGTGCATTGGACATGTAGTCTATTTAAAGATTTAGATTTTAATTTCTTTACTGTACTGTGAAGTAAATCTTGGGTTTTGTAGGTTATCTCTGTGTTAATGAATTGCAGATCAATGGACCTGGTGTGGACGAATTTCTTTGTCTATATTATCGGGACAACAACTTGCCAACTAGAGTGTAATGACATTAATTGTAGAGCAGTAATATTTATGTAGGGCTGAGAATATTTTCTATTCCTCTTCTCTAATTTGCAGTGGAAGAATAGAATCCAAATCAAGTCTGGACAGCTAGATAAAATGACCTCATCTTTACTTTAGGTCAGAGTTTATCATGTGTCTTTTGTCATGTGACCAACCTTATAATTACTGGACTTGGCTCTAATGGAATAGTTTGACATCTGTTTTTTTAGACTTTGAGAAACCTTATGTGCTTGAATCAAATTAGACATCCTCAGTTTCCTGTTTCATAATTAATGATCTCAGATGTGAAAGGGTATGCTATACAATTCAAGGTCTGCATGTTTTTAATGAAGCTTGCCTGTCTGTTTAATATGAATTGAATCAATGCAAGGGTTGTGCTTTTAATACATGAGAGGCTATCAGTTCTCAAACCCACATGTGTCTTAAAAATATATCAGAAATTCAAGTTTTTTTTATATCAATCTTTCAAAAAGAAACTATAACATGTGAGGTGGGATAGCCCTGTAGTGAATTTTGATCAGATTTTAGAAGGGCGGTCCATTGAAAGGGGCCCATTCTTCACTCCCAACAGTGCCTCAGTGAATGAGAGTGAAAAAAACAGAAACTTTACATTAAATGAATGTGGCAT